TCCAGAGCTGAGATATCAAAATTCAAAATTTCGACCCGAAAAAAAAAACGACAGTGTTACCCCTTTCGTTTTTTTTCATTTTTGGGCGAAAAATTAAGTTTCTCCAATCTTCTCAAAACTCTGGATTATGATAGAGGGCTGTGAGACTTTGACCTGAGTGCAAAAATGGAGGCTCTAGACCCTTCCAGAGCTGAGATATCAAAATTCAAAATTTCGACCCGAAAAAAAAAACGACAGTGTTACCCCTTTCGTTTTTTTTCATTTTTGGGCGAAAAATTAAGTTTCTCCAATCTTCTCAAAACTCTGGATTATGATAGAGGGCTGTGAGACTTTGACCTGAGTGCAAAAATGGAGGCTCTAGACCCTTCCAGAGCTGAGATATCAAAATTCAAAATTTCGACCCGAAAAAAAAACGACAGTGTTACCCCTTTCGTTTTTTTTCATTTTTGGGCGAAAAATTAAGTTTCTCCAATCTTCTCAAAACTCTGGATTATGATAGAGGGCTGTGAGACTTTGACCTGAGTGCAAAAATGGAGGCTCTAGACCCTTCCAGAGCTGAGATATCAAATTCAAAATTTCGACCCGAAAAAAAAAACGACAGTGTTACCCCTTTCGTTTTTTTTCATTTTTGGGCGAAAAATTAAGTTTCTCCAATCTTCTCAAAACTCTGGATTATGATAGAGGGCTGTGAGACTTTGACCTGAGTGCAAAAATGGAGGCTCTAGACCCTTCCAGAGCTGAGATATCAAAATTCAAAATTTCGACCCGAAAAAAAAACGACAGTGTTACCCCTTTCGTTTTTTTTCATTTTTGGGCGAAAAATTAAGTTTCTCCAATCTTCTCAAAACTCTGGATTATGATAGAGGGCTGTGAGACTTTGACCTGAGTGCAAAAATGGAGGCTCTAGACCCTTCCAGAGCTGAGATATCAAAATTCAAAATTTCGACCCGAAAAAAAAACGACAGTGTTACCCCTTTCGTTTTTTTTCATTTTTGGGCGAAAAATTAAGTTTCTCCAATCTTCTCAAAACTCTGGATTATGATAGAGGGCTGTGAGACTTTGACCTGAGTGCAAAAATGGAGGCTCTAGACCCTTCCAGAGCTGAGATATCAAAATTCAAAATTTCGACCCGAAAAAAAAACGACAGTGTTACCCCTTTCGTTTTTTTTCATTTTTGGGCGAAAAATTAAGTTTCTCCAATCTTCTCAAAACTCTGGATTATGATAGAGGGCTGTGAGACTTTGACCTGAGTGCAAAAATGGAGGCTCTAGACCCTTCCAGAGCTGAGATATCAAAATTCAAAATTTCGACCCGAAAAAAAAAACGACAGTGTTACCCCTTTCGTTTTTTTTCATTTTCGGGCGAAAAATTAAGTTTCTCCAATCTTCTCAAAACTCTGGATTATGATAGAGGGCTGTGAGACTTTGACCTGAGTGCAAAAATGGAGGCTCTAGACCCTTCCAGAGCTGAGATATCGAAATTCAAAATTTCGACCCGAAAAAAAAACGACAGTGTTACCCCTTTCGTTTTTTTTCATTTTTGGGCGAAAAATTAAGTTTCTCCAATCTTCTCAAAACTCTGGATTATGATAGAGGGCTGTGAGACTTTGACCTGAGTGCAAAAATGGAGGCTCTAGACCCTTCCAGAGCTGAGATATCAAAATTCAAAATTTCGACCCGAAAAAAAAAACGACAGTGTTACCCCTTTCGTTTTTTTTCATTTTTGGGCGAAAAATTAAGTTTCTCCAATCTTCTCAAAACTCTGGATTATGATAGAGGGCTGTGAGACTTTGACCTGAGTGCAAAAATGGAGGCTCTAGACCCTTCCAGAGCTGAGATATCAAAATTCAAAATTTCGACCCGAAAAAAAAAACGACAGTGTTACCCCTTTCGTTTTTTTTCATTTTCGGGCGAAAAATTAAGTTTCTCCAATCTTCTCAAAACTCTGGATTATGATAGAGGGCTGTGAGACTTTGACCTGAGTGCAAAAATGGAGGCTCTAGACCCTTCCAGAGCTGAGATATCAAAATTCAAAATTTCGACCCGAAAAAAAAACGACAGTGTTACCCCTTTCGTTTTTTTTCATTTTTGGGCGAAAAATTAAGTTTCTCCAATCTTCTCAAAACTCTGGATTATGATAGAGGGCTGTGAGACTTTGACCTGAGTGCAAAAATGGAGGCTCTAGACCCTTCCAGAGCTGAGATATCAAAATTCAAAATTTCGACCCGAAAAAAAAAACGACAGTGTTACCCCTTTCGTTTTTTTTCATTTTTGGGCGAAAAATTAAGTTTCTCCAATCTTCTCAAAACTCTGGATTATGATAGAGGGCTGTGAGACTTTGACCTGAGTGCAAAAATGGAGGCTCTAGACCCTTCCAGAGCTGAGATATCAAAATTCAAAATTTCGACCCGAAAAAAAAACGACAGTGTTACCCCTTTCGTTTTTTTTCATTTTCGGGCGAAAAATTAAGTTTCTCCAATCTTCTCAAAACTCTGGATTATGATAGAGGGCTGTGAGACTTTGACCTGAGTGCAAAAATGGAGGCTCTAGACCCTTCCAGAGCTGAGATATCAAAATTCAAAATTTCGACCCGAAAAAAAAACGACAGTGTTACCCCTTTCGTTTTTTTTTCATTTTTGGGCGAAAAATTAAGTTTCTCCAATCTTCTCAAAACTCTGGATTATGATAGAGGGCTGTGAGACTTTGACCTGAGTGCAAAAATGGAGGCTCTAGACCCTTCCAGAGCTGAGATATCAAAATTCAAAATTTCGACCCGAAAAAAAAACGACAGTGTTACCCCTTTCGTTTTTTTTCATTTTCGGGCGAAAAATTAAGTTTCTCCAATCTTCTCAAAACTCTGGATTATGATAGAGGGCTGTGAGACTTTGACCTGAGTGCAAAAATGGAGGCTCTAGACCCTTCCAGAGCTGAGATATCAAATTCAAAATTTCGACCCGAAAAAAAAAACGACAGTGTTACCCCTTTCGTTTTTTTTCATTTTTGGGCGAAAAATTAAGTTTCTCCAATCTTCTCAAAACTCTGGATTATGATAGAGGGCTGTGAGACTTTGACCTGAGTGCAAAAATGGAGGCTCTAGACCCTTCCAGAGCTGAGATATCAAAATTCAAAATTTCGACCCGAAAAAAAAACGACAGTGTTACCCCTTTCGTTTTTTTTCATTTTCGGGCGAAAAATTAAGTTTCTCCAATCTTCTCAAAACTCTGGATTATGATAGAGGGCTGTGAGACTTTGACCTGAGTGCAAAAATGGAGGCTCTAGACCCTTCCAGAGCTGAGATATCAAATTCAAAATTTCGACCCGAAAAAAAAAACGACAGTGTTACCCCTTTCGTTTTTTTTCATTTTCGGGCGAAAAATTAAGTTTCTCCAATCTTCTCAAAACTCTGGATTATGATAGAGGGCTGTGAGACTTTGACCTGAGTGCAAAAATGGAGGCTCTAGACCCTTCCAGAGCTGAGATATCAAAATTCAAAATTTCGACCCGAAAAAAAAACGACAGTGTTACCCCTTTCGTTTTTTTTTCATTTTCGGGCGAAAAATTAAGTTTCTCCAATCTTCTCAAAACTCTGGATTATGATAGAGGGCTGTGAGACTTTGACCTGAGTGCAAAAATGGAGGCTCTAGACCCTTCCAGAGCTGAGATATCAAAATTCAAAATTTCGACCCGAAAAAAAAAACGACAGTGTTACCCCTTTCGTTTTTTTTCATTTTCGGGCGAAAAATTAAGTTTCTCCAATCTTCTCAAAACTCTGGATTATGATAGAGGGCTGTGAGACTTTGACCTGAGTGCAAAAATGGAGGCTCTAGACCCTTCCAGAGCTGAGATATCAAATTCAAAATTTCGACCAAAAAAAAAAAACGACAGTGTTACCCCTTTCGTTTTTTTTCATTTTCGGGCGAAAAATTAAGTTTCTCCAATCTTCTCAAAACTCTGGATTATGATAGAGGGCTGTGAGACTTTGACCTGAGTGCAAAAATGGAGGCTCTAGACCCTTCCAGAGCTGAGATATCAAAATTCAAAATTTCGACCCGAAAAAAAAACGACAGTGTTACCCCTTTCGTTTTTTTTCATTTTCGGGCGAAAAATTAACTTTCTCCAATCTTCTCAAAACTCTGGATTATGATAGAGGGCTGTGAGACTTTGACCTGAGTGCAAAAATGGAGGCTCTAGACCCTTCCAGAGCTGAGATATTGAGAACCCACGTAACATTTATGCCATTATAAATATCTCAGCTATGGAAGGGTCTAGAGTCTCCATTTTTTGCACTCAGGTCTAAGTCCCATGGCCCTCTATCAGAATCCAGAGTTTCAAGAAGATTGGAGAAACTTATTTTTTCGCACCAAAAAAAAAAAAAAAAAACGACAAGGGTACCACTGTCGTTTTTTTTGGGGGTCGAAATTTTGAGTTTCTCTGATCTTCTTGAAACTCTGGATTCTGATAGAGGGCTATGGGACTTAGACCTGAGTGCAAAAATGGCAGACTGATTTCATGAAGTAGCGTGTGTATGACACGCCAATTCGTATTTCCATTTTTGGCGTGCTATCAAGACGCATAATCGCTTTTCAGCGTGTTTATGAATGCCGTTGACGTAACGTTATATAAATATATGACTTACCTCAACCCCGTCCCTAAACCTAACCGTCACTTGGGTTAAAGGCATTTATGACTGTTCCCTTACCATCCTAGGAAAGAAAAAGATATGACTTACCTCAACCCCATCCCTAAACTTAACCGTCACTGGGGTTAATGGCATTTATGACTGGAGATTTGACGTCGTGTACAGACACGCGGAATGACGCGGACATTAATGGCGTAGACATGCACGCAAACATGCGGATACACGCGGATAGCTCAAAATGCGTAGAGATAACACGCCACTTGGCTCGAAAGTGGCGTGTATGTTTACGCAAAAGTCGTGATGTCATGTTGAAAATGGAGACTCTAGACCCTTCCAGAGCTGAGATATTGAGATATTTATAATGGCATAAATGTTACTTGGGAATGCTGCATTTAGTTTTCATGAACCTGTGTGAGGAAATTATCCAGTATTTTTAGTAAAATTTTAAAATTTTCAAAATGTTGATTCCGCTGGATGGATACTAATTTCAAAATCTGATGAGTTGCAGGGTAAGAGGTGACCAGGGTGTTGAAAATGTCAGCATTGCCCAGATTATGTTTAGTATGAGAGGCACAAGACATGGAAGCTTTTTAAATGCAAAAAGTGTGCACAACCAGAGGTGAATTATTCCTTTTGAAATGATTATCAAATGACCCCAAGATCCAAGTAGGTACACGACATGTCTTGTTATTGTTGATGTGCCCTTCACTGTGATATTTACTCCAGTTGAATTGCTGTTTGGCTATTCTTGTACATTGTTTGAATGACCCATGGGGAACTTTTCTATTTACGAATTGTAGAATCGAACGTCTGTGGAAGGACTTTTGGACAGGAGTTACTCACGTTTACTATGACGTATTACACAGCCTGGAGGAAGATGGATCGCTTGACATCTCGGATAATCTCCATCTCTTCTGTGCTCAGTACACCTTCCTCCCAAGACTCAAGGCTGATTTGGCCAAGTTTTCTGCTGGATGGAATGCTCATCCTATCAGGACAGAGGGCTTCCTTACCCCAAACCAGCTGTGGGAGCCTGGGATGCTGCAGCACCCCATCTGCGAGCCAGAGGAAGATGTGGCAGTTGAGTGATAATGCCAATGACATTGTTGTCCGCCTTTAAATGATTTTTTTCAATCTATATACTGATAATACTATCTTCTGTTGGTTTTAGGGAATCCAGATTGAGGATATTGATTGGGAGAGTTCAGGGCTCTCTCATAACTCTGCCAACACAGGTGTTGCAGTGCCAGAAATGGAATGTCCATTGAAGACAGAGGACATTGAAACTCTACGCCTTGCCACTGCTCCTCTTTCTCATTCAAATAATTTCGGAAGAGACATTTATTTGTTCACACTCGCACATGCATTGTACCTACTTCGCCATCATTGACAGTCCTGTCTGTGCCAATCAGAGGACTAAAAGGCTTTTAATAATTCATGATTGTTTCCATGCACCTAAAGTAATGCCACAATGTTGTATTTTGCTTCCAAAGATTTTGTATTTATTGGACTTTTGTCAAACTGACACAGCCACAGGGAAGCAGGAAAGAACGCAGTGAAGGACATCTTTCTGACAAACATGGATGGTGCAATGCCCATATGGAAATGCTTTTTGAAGTATAACTTGGGTTGGGTTAACAGATACAAACTGGACTTAACAAAAAATGAGATGAAAGATTTGCACAAATATCTTATCTATTATTATTTGTCTGAATGTATAGGCATTGTACTTGAACCATGAAAGAAAAACATTCAGTAATCTAATTAGCACTGAATATTTGAAACTGCAACATTTCACTTAAACCTGATGAAATGCCTGCCCTAGATGAAAGGCCTGTCATCACTTGTTTGAACTCAGCAAAAGTTTGCATATGCTTAACAGGTAGGTGGATTGCATTACTACATGCACACTCTATGTGAACCATACTGGATGTCACAGGTGTGATTGAACTGCACAAAGACTCTGAAGTTTCTCTTCTCTTCTGGTAAGACAGGAATGTGGCCCTGTCCTGTGAGCCACTGGAGAAACATACTGGGGGACAGGTGACCAAGATAGTCTACTGTGTCACCCACCTCTGGAAGTACACCTTTTCAGAGACAGAAAGCAAACAATTACGTAAATTAAATATTTGATTTACCTGTACCAACACAGAGGTAGAATTTGGAAATCTAATATCTTGCGTAAGTGTACTTACAATAATAATATAATCTACATGAAAACTTCATAAAATGTGTAAGACAGAAAAACTAAGTAAATAGAGTTTACAAGAAGAAAAGTACATGAGCAATTACATGCTTCCAGCTCCTGCAAGAAGCCCTGGAGATGATTCATAACGCTCACTTCCAACCGTTCTTTGTAGGAGCCCTTCTCGCTGAACTCAGGTTGACAAGCCGCAAAGACAAAGTCAGCATCAGCCTGGTGAGAGAAACCATGTATCGTTATGAGTTTATCCAGAAAGAGAGAGCAGTAGTGGGCGAGTGAGCTGAGAGAGAGGGAGAAGCAGCACAAAATCAATTACGTTACCTGGTTGCTATGCTAGTCCCCAACCTCACAATTGCTGGCTGTGGGCTACATACCCACTGCCCAAAGGTTGACACAGAAATGTCCCAAACACAGCAACATAAGAAAACCAGAAAATACCAGCAGAAGGCAGTACCTCTGTAGATAAATAAACCACCTCACATCAGTTGGGGGTCATACTATACATTGTTTTTTTTAGGACAATTCTGCATTGTGGACCTTTAACTTTAATATCTTCATTATTATTGCCCAGTGACCCCACAAAGTCTATACACAAAAATTTCAAGTAAAGGGCATGATTGCTACTTGAAATAAGCTGAGTTTAGGACTTGGAATCATTATTGTTAGTTAAAAGTGGTATCAGTACATCCCTACTTGTGTCTACATTTATTAACTCACCTTCACCTCCATCCCAGGGACAAAGAGTGGTTGGCAGATGTTTGGGTATTGGTCCATTAGATCAACGAGACCATAAAGTTTTAGACCTTCACGTAGCTGGGAGAGTAGGGGCAGCAGCTGAAGTATGGCATGAAGAACAACAGCACTAAAATATAGAATGAAGAAAAAATAATATCAATATTAAGCAAAATGTAAAAAAATCAAAACATGAATATAAACATCATTGACAAGGATTAACATAGTGACAAAACAATTATACCGAAGAATTTCTTCCCTCTTTTCAACATTAACAGGTCCATTATAGCCACAGCTCAAAATGTCCTCAATCAGTTCTTGTAGCCTCAGTGGCCGACTCAACCTTAAAAAGACACACACACACAGAAAAACAAAAACAAAAAAAAACACTGATTAAAATGTGTTGCCAAACATTTTACAGCACTAAAACACTTAAGACCTCTTACTTGGGAGAGAGAAGTGATATATACTCCGCATCAGAGACATCCTCTTTGGAAATGTGCTGAATCTGTATTTCCCCATCACACAAGTACCTGTAACACCAAAGTTTGAGGCAGCAGGGTGGTGGTCCGCTTTGAGCCAGACTTGCAGCCCAGATTTCACCAGCACTTCTGAAATAAAACCATATAAATTAGTAGAAACATAGTAATGTCCAGAGGACATATGTGCATAATACTGTGTTAAGATCTCAAGCCACCACATTTAGCCTACTGAACATAAAACAATAAAAGAGTATATGCACACCTACAGAGGCAGACAGGTGCGAAGGAGAGAGACTGAAAGAGAGGAATCTCCCACACTGTCTTAACTTGCATATAAAGTTTAATCAGAAAACAATGTTTCGGTCGCTGGGACCTTCATCAGGTTATTTTATGATGTGAACAAAGGAAGCAATTTTAATTGCTTGACTCAAATGACCATGTGGGCCAATCAGAGCCCACGTAGGCAACTACACTGTCAGTGCCTGAAATGATCAAATATTTTCAAAGTCATCAAACACAATTCCTTTTTTTTCTTGTCATATATGGCCCAGCTTAATGCCAGGCCCCATGTCTGAGTTTTCAGCCCTGTAACATGTAAACAAAATATTGTTTGAGGACTCAGACTTATGGACCCCACTGTGTGCAAGCATGTCTTACCTGAAATTTCCTTGATCAAGATCCAACAGGGAATATTTGGGACATTTTCCAGTCTGGTCACCCTCAAAGAGCTTCTGCTCAATCCCTGGCTGCAACCATCTCATGTAACTGTCACTTCTATTGCAATTTTTTTTTTAAATGTAATGTAAATCATATTTATCTCCGCCAAGGAGGCTATGGTTTTGATGGAGTTTGTTAGCAAAATAACTCAAAGTTATGAACAGATTTCAACTAAAATTTAAGGAAATGTTGATAATGGGAAAAGGAACAGATGATTACATTTTGTTGGTGATCGGTTGAAGAAAAGTGGATCAAATAATACAATGCCGGGAAATCCAAGCTGCTTGACTTGTGAGGAACTCCTTCCGTAACGCTCCTGTATCAAGGCCCGCCTCCCCATGAACCTGATTTTTAACCGACTAGTAGGCAATGCCTTCTTTTGTCGCTTTCATCGAGCAAGGCCCTGCTCCACCACATGGGATCTTGATACAGTGAGAGGAAATTCTTCCTCATTGTTAAAAGCAGCAGAGATGGCCTGCAGGACATCTTCAAGGCTGAGGAAGAAATAAATGCCTGTTAGGCAGTGTGATTCTGGAAAGCGCATATTGTCTGTATAATTCCTTTAGGTTAGAGGTTGACAAACTGTGGTGTATGTATGAGATTTATTCTTTCTCTATTGTGTGTTAGTATTTGCATATTTGTGTCATTTACTTTTTCGTTGGTTCTGTAGGGTCATAGCTTATAGGTAATCACTGGATTCAATGACATGACATGAGGTACTTGGCCCCAAAAGTTTGAGAGCCTTAGGTTATTCCCTGTTGAAGGAGACTATAGAAGCGTACAAACCTAGAAATGCTCATCTTTTGTTCTGAAGATGAAGAACTTGAAGGAATGAAGTCAGCTTTGCTGAAATGACAAAACGAGTATGAAGTTAAGAGTGAAACCATATCCTCTGACTTTAACTGTAAAAATGTGTACAATAGACTCAGTACAGAAGCCACATATAAAAGTTTACTTTATAGAAAAGTTGAAAGTAAAGTTTAATTTAAACTTTTTGAGAGAAAGAAATTTTGTTATGGTCAGGACTAACTGATCAATAAAAATCATATGGCAACAGTGACAACCAAAGAAAAAAAAAGAAAAAAAACTTGTGTACTGTTGAAAGTAAATGTATATCACACACAGCACAGTCAGCCTTTATGGTAACAGCTCAGTCAATTTAAAAGTATTAAACCCAACTGCTCAATACATTAATCCATTGGTGGAAAGACAGATGCTTGCTACAAAATCTTGACATTTTTATGTTGATTAAATTGTGCTAAGATTCTGTTACCTCTCTCCACACTCGCTTGCATGTTCCTCCAGGTCATTGTAATGTTGAGCCTCCTCTTTGTTCTCTTAAAACATTGTATTCAAGCTCCCAACATTATCCATACAATGGGTCTGTACACACCTCCAGTGGATAAGTATCTGAAGGCTTGCATGTTTCAACATGCAGCGCTAGGATTCGCAGTGGATAGCTGGTGTGACAGGAGTGGCACATTGCCTTTGGCATACTAGAGAAGGACCTGGAGTAAGGAGGCAGTGGTTGAGTGTCTAGTTCCTCCTCTACGGAGCAATATATAGGACACCCTTTCCGCCTATACTTGCAGTCTTCAGCATTAGCCCAGTATATCCACTGTCCCCAGGAGACACCATATATAGTTTTCTAGAACCCCACCCTCTTAACAAGAAAAGTTATTTAATAGTTGAACTCTATTGAAATGTGACCGTACTCATCACTCAAGATATTGATTCAAATTATTTTATACCAAGATTAGATTGGCCATGGGTAAGTTCTATGTACCTGCTCCTTTGTAAATCAGCCAGCCCCCGCCCCCCAGACACACTTTCCAGTTTTGGATAAAGATCTTTGAGGGTTGAACATACCTTCAAGAGTAATATACACTACCGGTCAAAAGTTTTAGATCAGTAAGATTTTTTATGTTTTTAAATGAAGTCTCTTCTGCTCACCAAGGCTGCTTTTTTTGATGAAAAAAAATGACAAACCGTAATATTGTGAAATACTATGACAATTTAAAATGACTGTTTTCTATTTTAATATATTTAAAAATGTCATTTGAAAGCTGAATTTTCAACATCATTACTGTTGCTGATTACACATCCGTTTTCAGTGTCACATGATCCTTCAGAAATCATTCGAATATGCTGATTTTATGCTCAAAACATAACTTATTATTTTCAATGTTGAAAACAGTCGTGCACCATTTCCCCCCCAAAATTCTATGATGAATATAACGTTAAAAAAACAGCATTTATTTAAAATATAATCTTTTCTAACATTATAAATGTCTTTACTGTAACTTTTGATCAAATCACCCTCATACTCATCCTTGATGAATAAACGTATTTTCTAATTTCTTTCCCCCAAAAATAAAAAAATAAATTCTTACTGACACCAAACTTTTGAATGGTAGTGATTAATGTTACAAAAGCTTTCCATTTCAGATCAATTGTGTTCTTTTGAACTTTCTATTCATCAAAGAATCCTGAAATACTAATGTAAAAAACTGTTTTCAACATGGATAATAATCATAAATGTTTCTTGAGCATCATATTATAATAATTTCTGTAGGATCAATGATGCTGTAAATTCAGCGTTGATCACTGGAATAAATTACACTTCACTATTACACTTCACATAGAAAACTTCTGTTTTAAAGTGTAATAATATTTCACAATATTGCTGTTTTGTTTTTTTTGTATTTTTATCAAATAATTGCAGCCTTGGTGAGCAGATGAGACTTCTTTTAAAAACATAAAAAAATCTTACCAATCTAAAACTTTTGACCGGTAGTGTAAATCATACCATCATATTGTCAAACGAACATTGGTTTTGATAGTGGACTATATTCAAACATAATATGACCAAAAAAAAAAAAAGAAAAAATGTTGCCTCACCTCATCATGGGTGTAGTTCTCTGGTATCAGCGTGGACCTGCGTCCCAAACCAGCTTGCAGATGGAAAACGTCTTCACTGCCTTTGGGAGTGCGCTCAACAATTTTTGGTAAGAGATAAAATGTAACTTCTATTTCTTTGACTGGTGTGGAGTGGTTGGAAGGCCCTTGAACACGCCGGCAGCCCGGCGATTTCCTCTGGCTCCAAAAGGGGCAGGAAAAGACCTGTGATGATAATTTATTAATTTGACATTACACAACACAAATACACATTTCACTAGCTATAGTTTGAGAATTTAAATTGATGAATGTAAGGGATGAGTCAGTCTGACAAAGACACCAAATACAGTGAAGAACCTTGTCATTTCTGTGTGGACACTGGGTCAGCCATCTCTCCCTCTTTCCTGACTCCTTCCCTGTCTGCTACAATAACATGCCGTGTTCAGGAGATGCATCACATTATTTTATACATGTTAATCTGGGTCTGTCTGTTTTCTTATTTGTTGCGAAACTAGACAACACCTTGGAGTCTCTGGGCCAATTTGATGTTGGGCACTGGGCCCAACAGGGGTAGCTCTGTGTTGGGCACTGGACCCAACAGGACCAGGGGAAAGTGTTGCATTTGTGAGCAAATTTAGGAGGTGTCTTGCTGAATTGACTACTTATGAGTTGTCTCCCTGTCAATGGGATGTTTTCCATATTCCAAAGAAAATATATTGCAAAAAGTTATTCAAGTAAATGGCTAGCTATATCAATATAAAACAAAATATTAATAAAATAGGTACTATATTTATGGACCACAATACCATATGCACTATTGAATTTAATTAAACAAAACATCCAGCTTTCTTTCAAAGTGTAAATGTGCTATGTTTGTGTTCTAGTCAAACGGAATTAGCAAGCTTATGCATTCAATTCAAATGAATAGGCCTAGTGCTATGGTGTACAGTAAATGCCCTGAAGTTTATGGCCTTACATTATGCTAGCACCTGCCAAACACAGCGACACACACGCTTACTACTCACTCTCTCTCTCTCTAAGCAGTAACGTTACTCTGACAATGACAACCACGAGGAGAAGATATCGGGGGAAAAGCAAATCACTCTGAAGAACATGACCAGTCTTCTTGGCGGCGGCGGCGGCTAACACTAGCTACGTTTGCAACATAATTTTCACCGGAGGAAGAGACAAACGCTTAAAAGTAATAAACACCAGGCAAAAATGTTGTGACCAGAGCTAGTATGCTACCATAAAAACGTGGGTTATAGCTAACTTACTGTGTTAGCAACGTCGGGCGAAAGATTTAATTTCCCCCGTTTCTACAAAATAGCTAGCAGCTATAACATTAACAACAGTAAAACAAAAGATCGTTAGATCGTAAAAAAACATGTCATTACCGCATTTGTCCCAGCCGAATCCATGGTAGTGGTCACTGGTCACGCCATTCCTTCGGCAAATAAGCACTTCTTCTTCTTTGTTTCATGCCTGGCGGGTAACATACTGTGCTCCAAAACATTGGTGCTGATTGGCCCAAGAGGAGTCCTGTGCGCCAATGAACGCTAGCTATCGATCTGCGCTCGATTGCTCTTCCTTCATCCTCCAACTACCCGGATGTCTGTCTCACTGAATTTGAGAACTGAATCTGAATTGTGAGAAGCGAATTTTCAGTGAGGATAAAATTTTATTGGACTTCAGTTCCAAACAAATAAATTCATTTTCAAATTATACAATTCAGATTCAGTTTTTGAATAAATTCATTTTTAATTAAACAGCCATTCAAATTCAAGTTTAGCCATTCAAATTAAAATATAAATGGTTCAAATTCAGTTTCTGGTGGCACATATTTCAGCCCATATGATATCCATGCTCATCTATTGTACAGTATGTATGATATTGGTGGAGGGTGGTGGGGGCCCACACCAAGATTTTTTTCTTGCAGAAGGCTCTCTCTCTCACACAGACGCACATGTGCTCTTTCTCTGACATATCTGTAAATGATGGAGACTGTAGAGATCATTTCTGTTGCTTTCTTCACAGTCCTTTCTCTGTGCCACAAACAAAGATAAATTGCTTGAAACAGTTTTTTCAAATTGCCTAGAAAAAAATTACAAATAAATCAGTAATGTTTTGACATGTATTCAAGTTTGAATCATTCCAGCAGTGCTCATTTTTAATCTTTTTTGGTCTTTATGGTCTTATTTCAAGGATTCAAATATTAAAAGGATTTTTGTAAATAAAACATTTAGAAAAGTAGTAGGCCTACTTCTACTACAAAATTCTTCATTCAATGTGTTACTTGCTATTTGTAATTATTTGTGAAATTTGCTTGCAATTTTTGAGTGCAAATCATTTAAAATTAAATCTGCCACATTGTTTTCAGTGCATAATTTCCAGCTATTCTTGCCAAAGTTTGATGAAAAAAATGTACAGAATGTGTGCAAAAAAATAGATAATAATAAAAGTTATAAATAAACATAATAATAAATAATAAATGCAAAAAATGCAAAATAAAATTAAACTATTTAAATTAGAGATGTAAATATAAAATCATCCATTTAAATTAATTAAAAAAAAATTTAAAAATCTGAATCCTTGGCCTAACCACTACTAATACTAATAATATTAAAATAAATCCTTATTGTAGGATTTCCCTCATTGTGCTGCTCCTTGAGTAGAGGAGAGCAATGTTTTCGAAACAATCAGACTTAAAAGTCCCCTGATATGGGGTTAATTTATTATTTTATAATGTTTCCTGGGTTGCCCTTATAATGTTAGTATGTTTTCTAGATCAAAAATAGTCATAATTTTGAAATACAAGGCATTTTCCTATTTTTTAGCCTCTGATTTGAACTCTGTTTGAAAGGCACGTGTCTGCTGAGGGATTCAGTGTAACCGCCCTCTGCTGTGATTGGCTGACATGCTTGCTTATGAAATAGCTACATATTACATGTGAAACTCTCTCCAAAAGTTTTACTACAGCTATTATACGTTTTTACTATTACAGCTAATACGTTTTTTAAGTTTTTTATAAGTTTACTGATAAGTTTTTAAACTATTTAAGATCTATTCCCTAAGACCAATTCAAACACGATGATGTACATATACCGTAAAATTTCAAATAATAGCCCGGGTTTTTTTATTTTATTTTCCCAAATCATCGAACTGCACCGGCTTGTATTTGAGACAGGCGTCTATGAGACTGACCTTTATAATTTAGTGTTGAGATGTTGTTCATTGAGTCTCTAATCTCTAAAAATCTCCAAATGCTCCCCGTGAAACTTCGGTCTTCCAACCTTTTACTATCATGTCAATTGATTTGATTAATATGCGCGAGGGAGAGAGAGAGCAAGACAGCGCTAGTGTTGTTTGAAAATATGAGAGGGCTCTCTCTCTCTCTCTCTCTCTCTGCTCGTAATGCACCCTATCAAGCGCAGCAGTCCTTCTATTCCACATCACTCGCCGATCCAAATAGGCTTTGGTGGGACAATAATTTGCTTTGGCGGTTTGAGGAAACAGGCGTCAGTGAAATGTTTGGAGCATACAAACAAAACTTTGGGAAGTTGTGTTGGGGCATTTCCAGAAAAAAAAAAAAATTAACCCATTGTTTCTTCAGAGGCTCGGATGAAGGAACTATGCAAGCCATGATATCTCAGACTCGAGGAAAACTCAAGTCGCGTTCGTACTTCCTTGCTTCTTTTCTCATGGGAGCCAAATTCTCTGGGCGGGCAAAGCAGAGAAAGGAGAGATAACCTTTCCTCTGTATGGCGTCATAAGGAGGAGATTCAAGATCAGCTCGTCTGAGCTTTCATTTTCTCAAAGGCAGAGAAAGATAGTCAAAGCTCGATGTACACCGATTGAAATTTCTAGCCTCTGGGGGACCATATACAGTACAGGCTAGGGGAACTCATAGTAATGTTAAAAACCCTCAGAAAGTGAAAAATTTGTGTCAGGGGACCTTTACAATTTTTGCCTGGTGGATGAACCTGGTAAAAGAAACCCCATAGACTAATAATAGAGATATATGACAGAGACTTAGAGTGGCCACTCAAAACCCCTTAGCAACCGTCCAGGACAATTTAGCATTGTGGCTGCAGGTTTTGTCTGGACAGGCATCAATTGGCATCTGTTGTCTTTAGAAAATATTACATTCTAGTTGGGTGCTACTGGCTGACATGATTACTTATCTCTTGAAAGAAAAATAACACTTGCAAAATTACAAGCCTGCCAAAAGAAATAGCATTTAACAAAACAAATTTTGACAGACAGTATAATAAGAAGCAGTCAAAGAAAGCGTGTGTTATACATGACACGAGAGGGTCTTGCTTCCCCAAAGTGCTTGAATTAGTTGGAGGAGCCTTGTATTACATTTATTAGTCTAATACATGCACGGAAGACGCCATGTCCCCACACGTCCAGCCGGGAGCTGCTCAGAGATCCACCCTGTCCTAGGAAAACAGCGGAAAGGTCATGCTGGCGGAGTCATGTCTGGGAAATATGAAAATCTCTCATTTGTAATTACAATCACACAACATTCCTTCTTCTCTTCTAAGGAGAGGAATCACGACAGGACGAGGCAATCACAACATGTCTGATTACAAAATCAGACCTAAGTTAGTAATGAGAGCCACCCATCAGGCTTCATTGTGTCCCGTATGAATGGGAGATGCCAATTGGTGGGATATATGTGAATATTTATTGTCTTGAAGAGTCCTTACCAGGCAGTAGCTGTAAACCAGCCACTCTAACCAAACAACTGTTGGTGGAAACTGGATCTCTGCCCCTTTACTGTCATCGCAGAGCTGCAGATCAGTGCTTGTTTACCAAGCATGCACAAAGCCTGCCACAGAGAAAGCGGATCTTTTGTTTAGTCATTTGATGAAGTTTGCCACGGGCTGATGTATTTAGGTCAGACCGTGTGGATTGAGTCAGTTGTTTTGTGAAAAGGCGAAAATCAGAGTTAACGTGCCAATTGTAGACAAATATTTTGTATTTTGTTAGTGGTGTGATCTCTGTCCCGCCGGATTGTCACAGCACAATGTTTTTAAGTCCAATGGGCTGGCGAAAGTTAACTAGGCCTACTGTATATTATTATGGTTAATTTTATTTTTCATTCTGCTTTCTAAAGACTGCTCGGAAATAATTTGATTAACCCTTAAAATCCTATATGGCCGCCGGCGGCAAAAAATAACTGTTGTTCTTAAATGTTAAAGAATTTTTGAACCGCTACTCCAATCCGTATGCTTTAAAAAGTCCCATAAAGAGGAGATTCACGGCTATGATATGAGGTTAATCGTGTTTGGACATTCAGAAGATCCGTTGTGAATGTGATAGCGTCATCAATTTTTAATCAGCATTGATTCGTCAAAGAAACCCGTGCGGTTTGTTCCTCTGAGCAAATCATGAATGACTGTTGATGCTTAGTCCCACCCTCATGCCTAGATTGTTTGAAACTGTCATCTACTCAACCAATAAACATAGTTCTTTGTCTTTTGCATGACCAATTAGCAACTTTCTTTGGAAATTTGAACTGAGGTAAAGTGCAAGTAGTTCATATAGGCTATGTATGTATATGTGTGTGTTTATGTAAATAAATATAAGTTTATTTTGCTTCAGTGTTCTATTAAAATGTTTCTATATATTTTACTACCTAAACTTTTTTGAACACATTTAAATTGTCAGTAAATAAAAAAAACACCAGCTTTTTACTGAAAATCGCCTATAATAATGTAGTAATAAATGGCTATAATTTGCTTAGGGGTTGTTACGTGCAGTCAAAATGACATCCGGAAATGTATAATATCCAAGTACAGCTTTCTAAAGGAAAGAATCCAAACTTCAGGAGGATTTGTTTGAATTGAGTTAAAAAAAAAAAAACTAAAAATATGCTGCCGTTTTTCTCAAATCTGGTAAATTCATCCATTCTAAGACATAATAAATGTAAAATGTGATTATTTAAATGAGATAGATTGAATCTTCAAGTTCTCCTGTTAAAAATGATATATGGCACTTGATGCTGACTGCTATAATGGGTTCGAAAAACAAAGAAAAGAACAGGTGCTCCAAAAATGGGATACGTCTTTAAGGGTTAATCACAATTGTTATCGACAGTAGTTCAAATACCAGTATGACATGAAAAGCAAATCTCCACAGTGTTTTGTCTGTCTCAGTCCTTGCAAGAAAATTGCATTAGTTCTGTATGCTGTACAATCTTTCTGGGTTTTTCTCTTAGCTTCCAGTATGGGGTGTAAAATTTGTGGCGAAAAGGGCTAAACTACAATATGGAAGTAACTACTTCTGTTTTATTTCAACTTTAATGGTAGAAAAAAGATGTGCTATCTAAATACTCAGTGTGTATTTGGTGAATGTGATTTCACCAAGTAGGCTACCGCATGTTTCTGGATCAACTTTCCAATCAACCAATCAGATTTGAGGAAGTTTACAGTTTATGTCAAGTTTAGGCTTAGAACAGGGGGAAGTACTTAAACATCAGTGTTATTCACCTATCATTACCCTCTGATTTTGGGGAAAAGTTATGGGTAGGGTTA